ATGTCTCCCACTTAACCGTCAGAAGACGCCTGCACAATCGCCGTTATTTTGGCAGGCTTTCTGTTAGGAGACCAGTGATCATAAGGAACCATCTACGTCGAGTCAGATGGTATATAGGAACTCTGGCGTGGACACCAGTCAATCACTGGACATTGATACTGTTCTCAGATGAAAACAGATTTAGCGTTGTCAGAATGTATGGAAGCATAGTGTTTGGAGATCAGCTGGTAAGAAGTATATTCCCAATGTTCTGCCTCTGGTCGACAGGACGCACCCATCATGTATAGGGTATAGGCATGTATAGGTGTGTTGGCTACTATGGTGTAGGCGAGCTGGCACTGGTCAACGTGGATTTTTTCTCAGGACAAATAATATGACATAAAAATAGTTTATATTTGTTTTTTTGTTATTATTATTATTTAAAATATATCGGACATTTTGTCCCCACTGGCCAAGCATCCACAATCAATTTCCAAATGGTTCCTGCTTCTTTTATGTGCAATAACAAAGTTATTTTATCTTTAGTTTGACATCAAGTTATTCTTATTGTTTATTTTAGATATTTTATTTTTAAAACAGGAAATCCAATGTCATCAACGCTTGCCTGTCTCCGATACCGTACCCAGTCCGAATAGAATTTAACTATGCCGATTATTTTGGTGGCATCAGTGATATGGGCCAAAAGTTTCCACGCAGAGGAAAAGGCAAAGGACTAGCACAATGTTTCCCAATACACTCCATCCTGGCCGCACTGGGCGTCAACCACGTGGACTACTTCTCCCTGGACGTCGAGGGGGCCGAGGTGGAGATTCTCAAGACATTCCCTTGGAAAGATATCATGGTGGACGTGTGGACTGTAGAGTATGGGGTCTTCTATGCTATGGGAGGAAAGGAGGAGGCCCGGCGAATGTCTGAAATCAGGAAGATCTTTCAAAACACAGGGGTGTACCAAGAGATCAATGCTCCTGGATTAAAATTTGATTTTCTGTTTGTTCGAAAGGAGATACTGGCATTGTAAAGAAGGGATTGCTGACTTGACCATCCCCAAAGCTGAACTCAAACATCTCCTATATAAACTTTGGTTGTCTGATCACTTAATGACGAGTTCAAGTCAAACTCCGAGATTCAGGGGACGTTGGGAACTTCCTTCTCTACTTTTGATTATCATACATGCACTTTTACAAGTTATCATTGTCAGTAACGCACCAAACGTCCAAAACCTTTGCATGGGAAACCTGAAATATCCAAAATGGAAGTAAATTAAGACTCGTGCATATAAAATGGCCTTGTTCTTGATTCGTACCACTGTGTCAGACTAATAAAGCACTACAATTATTAATGTGCACACATCTGCTGTTTGTAATGATAATTATTCCATTACTTAAACCCAAAAAAGTCTCCATCAGTACAAAGACATATATTGATGAATGGGATTATAAAATATTTATTGATTTCACTTTTCAGAGACGATTTGGCTCTTTTTTAATACGTTGTCTTACAATGCATATAAAATTCCACTTTCAAATGCAACTTCAGAGTGAATGTTGTTCAAATGGTAATTTTGATAAATAATAGTAAATATATATTCTACTTGAAAGGGATAACAACAGTTCGTTTTGGCAAAAAAAAAAAAAGGTTTCCTGGGGTACGACGACGATTTCCCAATACTTACGAAAAGTTGCTGAATCCTTTCCGACATCCAAAATCAGTCCATGTTTTTTTTCTTAAAAAGTTTTTTTCAATAACCTCTTAAGAGATTATCACAGAGGTAAAGCTGCCTACGCAGGTCTACGTGGTCAGATGGCAAACGCAGATTCCAGAATGATTGTGATAGCCGCTGTTTTGGTGGTTAAACGGAATGCATTACATTTCTACCATATACACTCTTGCCCAAAATGGTTGGTACACGGAAATTTTGGGAGGCATATCGCCCTGTTTCTTTCATTATTATTAATATTATCAAATTAATACTGTTTAAATTGTTAAATATGAGAAGCTGGAGGATTGGTAAAGTCAAGGAGAAACAAGCAATGCAAATGTGAAAAAAGTGTTAATTTATAGCTATGAGCTATGAGAGTGCGTAGGCTCCCTGGGGAGAGGCTGTTAAATGAAAATATCCAGGAAACAATGGCTGGAGGAGGTGGTTCTGTACATGTGTGGGGTGCCATTTGCAGCAACGGTATTTGCCCATTGCTTCCTCTGGATGAAAACCTTAACGCTGCCAGATGCAGAGACAATCTCCAGAAGAACCTGGAGCTGTTCAAAAGAGGAATATACAGAGACAATTTTAGATTGCAACATGACAATCCAACTCCCCACACAGCCCGCTTAATTGCAGACTATATCCGAAAAAACAACATTCAGCCGATGCCACAGCCAGCAAGAAGCCCAGATGCAAACCCAATTGAGCACATGTGGGACGAACTTGGTCGTGCCATTTAGAGGAGAAACCTTCCCCCTACAAATCTAGATGAACTGCGAAATGCCCTTCAAGATGAATGAACCAGAATTCCTCTCCAAAGAGCTGTAACTCTAGTTCACAGTATGCCACGCCGTCTGGTGCCATTGTCCAAGCTCGGGGTGGGCATACCCGCTATTTAGATCAATAATGAACTCTGAAGATGTTTCTTGACAATTTCCCCAAATTTCATATTAATTGTCAATCACAGTATAATTTTATGTTTAATTTTTCACTTGGTACTGTTATGCAAAAAAAGTACCCTTTTTGGGGGCATGAGAAAAAATACCCTAAATAAATTTACGCTTTTTTCACATTGGCATTGTTTGTTTCTCCTTGACTTTACCAATTCTCCAGCTTCACATATTTATCAATGTAAACAGTATTAATTTGATAATATCAATAATAATGAAAGAAACAGGGCGATATGCCTCCCAAAATTTCCGTGTACCAACCATTTTGGGCAAGAGTGTATCTATTGGGAAATATTTATCTCATATGCACAGTTGTTATTCCTTTGAAATCCCTTATACCAGAAGATATTTTGATTGTGACATCATGTTTGACTGGACACTGCAGTCCATCAATGTCCCTAAATATGTTTGCATTGTCGCATATATATACATGTATTCCAAATATGGAGTCTTATTTCTTTATTCTTTGTATCATATGGCATTTTTTTATTTCTAAGTGGCTTCAATCAGATTATTTGATTGTTCAAAGATGACCATTTAACGTATTTGGAAAGAAGTTACCTTCTGCAAACACAGTTCAACCTGTTGCAACACTTACCGGGTACAGAGATAGCATTTACACATGCAGGTCATATTATGCCTCTCCGTCCACGACACTATATCACTATAAATGAAGTGTAAAAAAAAAAATAAAAATAAAAATAAAAAAAAACGGACTGGGAGAGGCCACGATAGGGGGTCCAAAGTGATAAGCTGCTTGAAAATCAACCGAGAATAATTCATTGAGTAGATCTTTTGGAGATTCCAAATGAAGTGGAAAAAGCTTATATTGGCGGAATCTGATTGCATCTTCTACAATCTAACCTTAATGCCTATGCTAAACTTTAGGTTTGCTATTTTTGCTATTATTCAACTTCTTTTCGAAAACGAATTTTTAAGATGAATGTTTGAGCTCCATTTGGCACACCTTGGTCATTATATACCTCTATGCAGAATTCTATGTCCGTGTTTTCCCACAACATACGTGTCTAAAGTTCAAATATTTCATATATGGGATTTTAAAGTATTTTAATACCAAACTTGTCTTACAAAGCGCTCTTAAAAATGACAGAGAATTTTGATTCAAAACGGATTTTCCCACCAAAGGGGCGTTTCTTTAACCCCCCTTTCCTACAGGACTGCATATTGATCGGTATTGTGCTTTAACGATAATAAAATCACAAGCCGAATAACATCTAGTTAATGGATTTTTACCAATTTTCATTTAAATGACAATTAACTCTGAAAACCAAAGCAAACTTTTGCTTCCAACCTTAAAGACCCAGTGGAACCCTCATATCGGTCTTCTTTTCTTCGTGTTGTTCTGCAATTCACAAGATTGCAAACGGAGGCTGGATATTGACTTTTAAGAATTACCTCGCACATAGACCGAACCTGAGCCTGCTTTAGAGAAGCAATTGCAAAATGCATTTGTTGCGATATATGAGTGGCGCCGTGTCATGTCAAGCTGCATTGGTATTCAGATGAGTTTTTAGTGACAATCACCCAGGCAGCTAGGAAGGCAAGGGTAGATGGCTGCAAACTAGGAGAAAACAACATCCGACTATATATTAAGCACTTTTTTGAAGGAACAACCGGCCTGTGTTCCGCATGCTTTGCAGCACATTTCCAAAAGAAGGAGTGAGCCGATATGAAAGGGATGGTAGTCGTAGGAAAGTCCGAGGTCCCATATGATTAGTACTGGTTAGGGTTTAGTCGGAGCAGTTTGCTTAGTACTGGTATATGGGCTGAATACAGCCTGTACCAAGTAATGGGGACCGGATTATGGTTCCTAGAGGACAACCATTCCCGTCACACCGGTATATCATCTAGTGGGATATATTGCAAACTTGATTAGATTGAAATATGGAAAAAAATCACGTTTTCATCCCAAGATTTCCTTACGTTTAGTTTAATTAATTTTATATACGTTTCTTACTTGCACACCAAACTAATCTCGGATTGAAAATTGGGAATAATATGATATTCGAATTTTTTAAATAATATGTTAAGCATTACGCTTTAAAAAAAGCTGTACAGACATTTCAACATTATATATGTGGAAATACGTTACATAGACTATACGTATACAAAACAACAAAAATACAAATATCCGTCTTAAATGTTAAACTTTAATGTCAAAAAGGAATATGATTGCATGTTGTCAACCGATCCAACATCAGCTTATAATTTATTAGCAATGACAAGAAAATGCTTATTTTCGATCCAAGCCATATACTGGCATTATATAAAATTCAAATCAAATACGTGGCAGGTCTGCAAAACCAAGGGTTCAAATTATCCGCACAATGGATGTTTTGAGTCGTGACTTAGCTCCAAAGATTCGCGGTGCGTTGAAAATAGGTATACTAATTGTTGGGGCACTACTTGTCATTTCTTTCTTATTGTTTCCGGATATCACACGGATCGTTCGAGATACCAGCCCAAAGAAATGGCAGTTCGGGCTGCCGACTGTTTACTCTCAAGCTAGGTATGGCGAGGAACCCGGCGTTCTTCGAGGTGATGGCCAACTGACAAGTGTAGACATGATCGAGGACCTGGGATCAAAGAGAATGAATGCAACCGACCCTAGATTATTGAAGCTCCTCCGCGAAAAATGGCTTCTTGCACCCTCCAGCCGTCCATACCACTTAGATAAACCACAAAAAATACACGCGTCTCAGGTTGGGCAATCACAGGCAATTGATAAGCTACTGAAACAGAGAAAAAACGGTTTCTTTGTCGAGGCGGGAGCCGCGGATGGTGAACTTATATCTAACTCCTTGTTTTTTGAGAGATTTCGGAACTGGACGGGAGTACTTGTAGAAGCAAACCCATGGGCCTTTGATAAGATGGCCAAAAAACACAGGTAAGTGGGTTTTTTTTTCGAGACTACACTGTTTCCAACTACCAAACATCTGTCTCAAAAGCCTACTTATGTAATAAAAAGTCTTGATTTCTGAATAATATAATATGTAATCCACCAGACCCGTAGCCAGCAATTCCAAAAGGGTTTTTTTTCTGAAAAGAGAATCTTTTACCAAGATATTATTCTGAACCCTTCAACTCTCGGGTAGTATTTGCCTTGAGTGTATCGAACACACTTTCGCTGGCGATATTTATATCAGGTAAAAAAATCTACATGTGTGTTATTTTCAAAGAGCATCTCCAGCAGACCTGGGGGAACTAGATTAAATCTGGACATTGGGCTTAATAAGGAGCCAGAGAAACAAAAGAAGACTTTTTCTGCAAAGCTTCAAAGAACTTTGACACAGACTTGATCCGTGCCAAAATAATTAAAATTATTTATACATGTATCAGATTTCTATCCTGTAATATACTAGTAATTGGTTGATTTGTGGAGCCATGCACCCACATGTAACCTCGATGATACCACATATAAGTTCAACTCTTAGTTAATTGATCATTCAGCTTACCATGGATATCACGAAGTGGATAGCAAGAGGGTATAATAATAACAACGATCAACTGTTCTTCACGTTCTTGTCTGACAACTCAAGATAAATGCCGCAAACCAAATCGAATAACAGTACCGCACCGACATAATTCAGAATTGAGCTCGATACAAGCAGGTATAATCTGCATAAGTGCCCAAAGTTTATGTATTGAGGCCCTAGTTAAATAAATATATAGTTTTGGGTGGAATAATATACTGGAACTTCATTAAATCGCAGGATTTTTTTAAAAATTTTAGTGATGATTTGATTACTAGTGAAAACTAAGTTAATCTGCCCTTTATCTGTTGCATGTGTCTACATTTCGCTGTACCTGGGAATTTTGAAAATCTGTGCGTACAATTTTAAAATGTCTGGTTACGCCCCTGATGTGAGTAGACGATCATTAACATACCCACCGTAACCACTGAAGCACTCCAACACCAATTGTTTTTAATATGCGGGTCCTAATATAAGTGACAAGGATACATAGTACCAAGTGGTTGACATAGGCGGGTGTCTTGACCCGTTGAATTGCCAGAAGGTTGGTTTAACATAAAACAAGAACAGGGAAAACCATGTTTCCCAGTTAACCGTCAGAAGACGTCTGCAAAATCGCCATTATTTTGGCAGGCTTTCTGTTAGGAAACCAGTGATCACAAGGAACAAATGGTATATTTGAACTCTGGCATGGACACCAGTCAATCACTGGGCATTGATACTGTTCTCAGATGAAAACAGATTTAGCGTCAGAATGTATGGAAGCATAGTGTTTAAAGAACAGCTGGTAAGAAGTATATTCCCAGTTCTCTGCCTCTGGTCGACAGGACGCACCCATCATGTATAGGGTATAGACACGTATAGGGTGTGTTGGCTACTATGGTGTAGGCGAGCTGGCACTGGTCAACGTGAATTTTTTATCAGGACATATGGGTTTATGACATAAAATTAGTTCATATTTGTATTATTATTATTATCTATAATATATCGGACATTTTGTCTCCACTGGCCAAGCATCCACAATTAATTTCCAAATGGTCCCTGCTTCTTTTATGTGCAACAGCAAAGTTTTTTATCTTTAGTTTGACATCAGTTTATTCTTATTGTTTATTTTTGTTATTTTATTTTTAAAACAGGAAATCCAATGTCATCAACGCTTGCCTGTCTCCGATACCGCACCCAGTCCGAATAGAATTTAACTATGCCGATTTTTTTGGTGGCATCACTGATATGGGCCACAAGTTTCCAGACAGAGGAAAAGGCAAAGGACTTGCACAATGTTTCCCAATACATTCCATCCTGGCCGCACTGGGCGTCAACCACGTGGACTACTTCTCCCTGGACGTCGAAGGGGCCGAAGTGGAGATTCTCCAGACATTCCCTTGGAAAGAAATCATGGTGGACACGTGGACTGTGGAGTTCGGGGTCTACTATGCAAGGGGAGGAAAGGAGGAGGCCCGGCGCATGTCAGAAATCAGGAAGATCTTCCAAAACACAGGGTTGTACCAAGAGATAAATGCTCCTGGATTAAAATTTGATTTTCTATTCGCTCGAAAGGAGATAATGGCCTTGTAAAGAAGGCGTTGCTGACTTGATCATCCCTTAAGCTGAACTCAAACATCTCCTATATAAACTTTGGTTGTCTGATCACGCCATGACGAGTTCAAGTAAAACTCCGAGATTCAGGGGACGTTGGGAACTTCCTTCTCTACTTTTGATTATCATACATGCACTTTTACAAGTTATCATTGTCAGTAACGCACCAAACGTCCAAAACCTTTGCATGGGAAACCTGATATATCCAAAATGGAAGTAAATTAATTTAAACCCGTGCATATAAAATGGCCTTGTTATTGATTCGTACCAATGTGTCAGACTAATAACGCACTACATTTCTTAATGTGCACACATCTGCTGTTTGTAATGATAATTATTCCATTACTTAAACCCAAAAAAGTATCCATCAGTACAAAGACATATATTGATGAATGGGATTATAAATCATTTATTGATTTCATTTTTCAGAGGGGATTTGTCTCTTTTTCAATACGTTGTCTTACAATGCAACAAAAATACAAATAACCGTCTTAAATGTTAAACTTTAATGTCAAAAAGGAATATGATTGCATGTAGTCAACCGATCCAACATCAGCTTATAATTTATTAGCAACGACAAGAAAATGCTTATTTTCGATCCAAACCATATACTGGCATTATATAAAATTCAAATCAAATACGTGGCAGGTCTGCAAAACCAAGGGTTCAAATCATCCGCACAATGGAAGTTTTGAGTCGTGACTTAGCTCCAAAGATTCGCGGTGCGTTGAAAATAGGTATACTAATTGTTGGGGCACTACTTGTCATTTCTTTCTTATTGTTTCCGGATATCACATGGATCGTTCGAGATACCAACCCAAAGAAATGGCAGTTCGGGCTGCCGACTGTTTACTCTCAAGCTAGGCATGGCGAGGTATCCGGCGTTTTTCGAGTTGATGGCCCACTGACAAGTGCAGACATGATCGAGGACCTGGGATCAAAGAGAATGAATGCAACCGACCCTAGATTATTGAAGCTCCTCCGCGAAAAATGGCTTCTTGCACCCTCCAACCGTCCATACCACTTAGATAAACCAAAAAAAATACACGCGTCTCAGCTTGGGCAATCACAGGTAATTGATAATCTACTGAAGCAGAGAAAAAAATGGTTTCTTTGTCGAGGCGGGAGCTGCAGATGGTGAACGTATATCTAACTCGTTGTTCTTTGAGAGATTTCGTAGCTGGACGGGATTACTCGTGGAAGCAAACCCATGGGAGTTTGATATAATGACCAAAAAACACAGGTAGGTGGGGTTTCTTTCGAGATCACATTGTTTCCAACAGCCAAACATCTGTCACACAAACCCACTTATGTGTGCTAGATTATTCATCAGCCTATTAATTTCTGAATAATATAACATATAATTCACTGTATGGCACAGGTGCGGTTTCTCACTAATTCTCCTTTGACGGATCGCGATTGTTCAAGGACAGTTGCTGATCCATCATTTTTTTTTCTTTAGCTAGTGAAAATGCAAAAGGATGATTGTATAATAATGTCATATTTTATATAAAAGGGTTTTGTAAAGTTTTTTTAAAGAAATCTAAATCTTTGATTCAATCGAATTAAAAAGGTTCAGCTAACCAAATCAATATTTTGTATAGTACTGAACATTTATTCAGAAGGAGTATATCAAAGAATAAAACTGATTGAGAACTATGTATAAAAGCCCTTATAGAATTTTGCCAAAACCCTCTAGGGATAACAATAATTTCTCCACATTTATTGGGTATTTTGCGATCTAGTCTAACAAAAGCTCTTGTCATCAACGGTGCAGTTCACTAAATCAACTCAGCTACTGTTATTTTATTTTTAATACAGGAAATCAAATATCATCAACGCTTGCCTGTCTCCGATACCGCAACCAGTGCGAATGGAATTCAACTATGCTAATTTGTATGGTGGCATCAGTGAAATGGGCCACAAGTTTCCAGACAGAGGAAAAGGCAAAGGACTTGCACAATGTTTCCCAATACATTCCATCCTGGCCGCAGTGGGCGTCAACCACGTAGACTACTTCTCCCTGGACGTCGAAGGGGCCGAAGTGGAGATTCTCCAGACATTCCCTTGGAAAGAAATCATGGTGGACACGTGGACTGTGGAGTTCGGGGTCTACTATGCAAGGGGAGGAAAGGAGGAGGCCCGGCGCATGTCAGAAATCAGGAAGATCTTCCAAAACACAGGGTTGTACCAAGAGATGGATGCTCCTGGATTAAAACAAGATTTACTATTTGCTCGAAAGGAGATACTGATCTAGTAAGGAAGGCATTGCTGATACAGCCATCCCCAAAGCTGAAATCAAATATTGCTTGTATAAACTTTGCTTGTCTGATTTCGGGGTTTGACTGGGTCACGTTCTAGTCAAATCCCACTTTGGATTATCATACATGCATTTTCTCAAGTTATCATCATCATACCGCCCCTGTGCCAAAAGTTTAAAACCATTGCATAGGGAATCCGAAATAACCAAAATGACCGAAAATTGCCCTAGAAATTTACACCCGTGTATATCAAAGGTCATTGTTCTTGTTTCGTACCACTATTTCAAACTAATAACGCACTACATTCGTTTGTGTGCACTCAGCTTCTGTTTGAAATGATAATTATTCCATTTGTTAATTTTTAAATTAAAAAAGGGTATCCAACAGTAATCAGACATATTACTAAAAGGGGTTATAAATCGTTTATTTATTTCAATTATCAGATATGATTTGGTTCTTTGTAATACGTTTACTTTCACTACTAAGTAAATTCCACTTTCAAATGCAGCTTCGAAGTGAATATATTTTAAAAGGTAATTTTTTACCAAGAAAAGTAG